CAAATCCTCTTCGGGGTTCACAGCAGAAGCACCGCTGTCCTTTTTCTCAGCAGCTCAGCTGCCCCTGCAGTGACTTTGCAGTCTTCTAGTAAATGACTCGAAGGACCTTATTGCTGTTATCTTTGTAGCTGAAATCACCATGGAGCAAATCATTATCAGAGGACACTGAGGGCTTGTTTGGAGGCTCATATCCTGTTTGGTAACCCCTTGCCAGAGGTTTAAGAAAAACTCCGGGCAAACAAAAACAGCCTTGCAGTGGGGCTACGCTAGCACTGCAAGGGTTAAGAGCTCTGCAGGGGCCAGGATCAGCTTTATTTGAGCCCCTTGTCTATGACTCCCAGCATTCAGAACCCCTTAAAGAAAAACCTCAACCTTGCAGTGTGGCTACCCCAGCACTGCAAGGGTTAAGTGCTCCCGTGGTCTAGAATAAAGCTGATCCTGGCTCCCGCGGTGGTCGGCGCTCACCTCTCATCCCCTCTGCTCCGGCTATGAGATGTCCCTCAGCGTCCTTGCGTCCAATGCAAGTCAGTGGACCTGCATAAGACCTGATGATGTCAGCGGTCCTTAGACTGCCAGAGCAAAAGAAAGCAGAGGCTGCGGAGACCGGTCTAGCAGCCCAGCGGGGCCAGTGATCAGGTGAATAAATCTGTTTTGAGCCCCCTAGACAAAACGAGCGCTTAACCCTTTCAGGGTAGCCCCACTACAAGGGTAAATTTTTTTTTTATTTGCCCAGGGTTCTTCTTTAAAGAGGTTCTGAATGCTGGGAGTCACAGACAGGCTCCCCAATCATATGATCCCTGAGAACGGCTGTCACAGTGGTCACATGATCAGGAGCCCGTCACACCGACTTCAGATTGGAAACAGTAACCAGAAGCGGTCCATGGCAGTAAGCACCGAGTGGGCGTGCTCTCGGCACAGAACCGCAGATCCAGAGATACATATACATATATATCTATATAGATATCTATATATATGGCAGATGGCCATTAAAGCTCACCTGCCATATCTATGCGTACAGCTGACGGGAAGGCGTTAGGAATAGGTACCCCATGTTCACAGCCTGGTCACAGGTTCACATTGAAGAGGAGATCTGGTCATAATGTTATAATGTAACTATTGAGCCTCCTTATCAAATGACCCTTTAAATGGGTTTAAAACAAACAAACCTCTGATACCATAGACAGATCTGGAACACAATCCTACATACAGTGTTTAGATAAGCAGTCACAATACAAAGTTCTGCCTTTTGCACGGTATATAACCATTAGAAAACAACAAAAAAAGTGTATTTATATACATATAAAGTCACCTATATTCAGGCAGATACGTTCCATTGGCACCATAGCACACAAGGTCTTAATAATCACTTCTGTACCGAACCCAAACCAACTGCCACCTACAGCAGCACCAGGCTGGGCTTACCCAGTACCAGGGCAGGTATGTAAAAACACTGTTTGATGTTCCATAAGCGGCAACACAACTTCCAGGCCTTCCCATCCCTGAGAAATATTGAGGAATGACCCTCCCCAGTCTGGCAGTGCCACCAGGGGTATTAAACAGAACCAGGCAGTAACCTCCCATACAGTCACTCCGAAATGCATTCGTACCGTTATCAAAAGCCCTACTGAAAATATTCAACCGCCCCTGGCGGGCCCAAGGTTTGGGAACTGTAACCTTTCAATAGAAGACAAACGTTAAATAGTATAAAGTTGTACGCATGTTTGGCCTATTATGAGGGATGTAATGGATGCAGTGTGGGGGGGGGACCTGCTTGTTTGCGTGTTTCAGCTGATTTTAAAGCAGAACTCCAGAAACATCAAAGATCTGTATAAATGTGTATTGGATGTTTGCCCGGAGCTCTCCTTTATGTTCCTTCTCCATTTTGTCCTGGACTAAGGAACTAGCACCTCCAAATCTGCACTATTGCTCCCTTATAACGGGTATGGAGTCAGGTTGGCCATTTGTATACGTGTCTGAAAAGGAACGTGTGTAGCTCAGAGCGATGTTATCCATCGGTGTTCAAATGCAGATTATGGAGCCCAAAGACATTAGATGAGCGTTTCCCAAAAGCCCCTTCTTGGCTAAATCAAGCAAAAATGTTTTGCCCCGTGCGTTTCCCAATGGTCTTGCCTAATCCCAATGTCTTGCCCCCGTGCATTTCCCAATGGTCTTGCCTAATCCCAATGTCTTGCCCCCGTGCATTTCCCAAGGGTCTTGCCTAATCCCAATGTCTTGCCCCCCGTGCATTTCCCAATGGTCTTGCCTAATCCCAATGTCTTGCCCCCTGTGCATTTCCCAATGGTCTTGCCTAATCCCAATGTCTTGCCCCCTGTGCATTTCCCAATGGTCTTGCCTAATCCCAAGGGTCTTGCTGCCCGTGCATTTCCCAAGGGTCTTGCCCGATGCAATTCATAAGCCAGTCTGTCCAATCTAGGGGCCAACAGGACTTTTTTTTTTTTTTTAGGGGCCAGCTCAGTTTACACCAATTAGAGAAAACGCCAAAATTTAGGTGCCAACTGTCACTCTAACAAGAATTGGCTACGTGGCTCCTGGGATTTATCCAGCCCTGGTCTATATGCAGCTTCACTTCCCTCTATTGTCCTACGCAAGAGCACTAGTGTGACTGGTTAAAGCGGAACTGAACTCAAATATTTGCTATGTTATAGGGAACATCTATCTATCTATCTATCTATCTATATATACATACATACACTATATATATATATATAATCATTGTGTCTAAGTGCAATCATAAATTGTACCTTTTGTCTGGAATCCCTTCTGAAACATAGCAGAGCAGTTCTTGGTATGACTACAGCCTCAGAGCTGTATACCTGCAGTGTGAGATCTCAGCCACTGCTAGTCAGTTTGGTGAGATCCATTGCTGTGCTGCTCACTGTTCTCCTTGCTGGAGGCTCTGACATGAGAAAAGCAAAGCCCTGCCTCTATCAAAATGGCCGCCTGTACTCAGAGACGTAGTGTAGAAGAAAACGAGGGAGGTCAGTATTGAGGAAATGTTTGACTGCAGGCGGACCATACCCAACACTGGTGAATAGTCCTTGGGGCACAGGTTCCAGAGTTCAGTTCCTCTTTAAGGAGATGGTGGCTCAGGACACACTGTAAAATGAATGCAGCACATGTACTCATCCGAATGTCTTCTAAAGCCCATAATAAAAAATGAAGCCTGTGCCTCTGATTGGTTTCTTGAGGTAATAGAAACAGGTTCCTTTTTAGACACTTTAAAGCCCAATTCAGCCAAAACGTTTTTTTTTTATATTAGTGTTGGACAGAGAAGGAAAGGCTTAGAACCTTCATCGGGTTTTATTTGCATCCTGTCCCTCCCACTGGGGAGATTTCCTTCCACTTCCTGTTAGTACAGGAAGTGATGAGAAATGTCTCCAGTGGGGACATTCAGCAAAACAGGCAAGGGTTAGAACCTCTGCCAAGTTCTAATTACAGCCTGTGGTTTTCTGCCCCAGGGACAACCAGTCACTTGATGCCTTGCCCTGTTGTTACAGGGACAGGAAGTAAGGTGAAATGTTCCCAACAAAGGCAGGGACAACAAGTGTTTACTATTCCTGAATCTATGCAAAGCTTTAGTAAAATATTTTGGGTCGGATGCACAGCGTTCTGCCTCACTTTATTAAAAATCGCGGTTTGCTCAGAGATTAGAGTCAGTTTAGCTATCAGAAGCACCTACTGGCTTCCTACTCCAGCAGGGCGGTCTCCGTCCCCCAGTCTGCCCCCCAACTACAATGGACAGAGGAACGAGAATCTCCGCTGTTTTATATCACACAGAAGATACCAGGAGTGGGATACAAGACCACTCACCCCATAAGTGTCCACCCACAACCAGCGTATCGGGTGCAGGGAGACAGACAGACCCGTCCTTTAACTTGTAGTTCAGTGTTTTATTTCTCTCCAGTCACCCATTTAACCTTTTATGTAAAGATTGTTTCATTTTGATTTTCGCGGCAAAATTCACTCCAAAGAAAAGGAATATCTTCGAGACTAAAGAAAGGAATTAGCGTTATCCTCTCATCTACCACGACTTTCCCCTAGACAACCTCAAATACCTACTGATGGCAGATCCATACTGTGTGACCCACGAGGAGCCATGTAGCCAACCCTCCTATACTACTGGCACAAGTACTCAATAATCTGGAAGATCCATACTGTGTGACCCACAAGGAGCCATACAGCCAACCCTCCCATATTACTGGCACAAGTACTCAATCTCCTGGCAGATCCATACTGTGTGACCCCCCCCCACAAGGAGCCATATAGCCAACCCTCCTATACTACTGCGCAAGTGTTTAATACTCTCCTGGCAGATCCATACTGTGTGACCTACGAGGACCATACAGCCAACCCCCCCATACTACTGCACAAGTGCTCAATAATCCCATTTATTGCTCTTCTGAGGCCTATCAATGAGTCCCAATGGTAGACATATTCTCCATAGGAAATGTTTCCCAAATGTGTAGAAATACAGGACCGGCCAGGGGAGTCTATAGGAGGCATATGTACAGCTCCCTATGGATCACACAGCATTGATTTGGCAAGAGCCTGGAATCGTCCAACTCTTCAAGGAAGAGTTGGACGATTCCTGCACTGCATTCGAGATTACAAATGAAACAAAGGCTAATAACCGATGACCTAGATCAGGATGCTTTTAAGGGAACAGTGTCAGGCCGTATATATGGAGTTAGCGACGGTAAGAAGAGTATCTAGGTACACTGTAATCACTTTTTCATTCTATAAAAGACAGCACACACCAGGTCCTCTACATCACGAGGAAGGCAGGTGGGGGTGGAAGACATATGGGACTTTGGCCCTCAGGAAGAGGTCTGTAGAGTTCTGGAAGACCCCAAAAACCACCCACAGCTGAACATACAAAACGTGGAATCTGCAAGCATCCAAAAAAAGTCCAACTGCTTGAGGTCCAAGAAAAGACGAAGGAGTGGTATTTCCTCCTGAGCAAATATACAAAGTCAGCAGGCGACATTTTTCAGGAGCAGCAGAACTCGATCCGGGACCAGAATGCAATGGATGTCAGGCGTCATCTCTGCAGAGGAATCATGGAGGCAAAACATCACTGAAGGAGAAAGGTTCTTTTTTTTTTGTATTACCACCAGGTTGGACCAACATTCCCACTTCAGCTTGGAGCTCAATAAGAGCTGAAAGCCTGCAGAGGATCTGGAGAGTATTGCATCCGTGTCTGAAATCTCAAGGGCTGTTCAACCAACAGTTAGCCAGAGATCACTGTGTGAGCTCTGATTGTCTTCCCTAGAGGTTGTCCCCAGGTTGGTACTGAGGCTCGGTGGCAGTGAAATAGTCTTCTAAGAACGCCTGTAAGTATTCAAATGTTGGCCGCTCCTCGGGGTCTTTCCTCCAACACTGCAACATCAGATCATGGAGGGATTCGGGGCAGTCTGGAGGGCAGGGCATTCGATAACCACGCTCCACTTGGTCCAGAACCTCTCTGTTCACCATCCCTGTGGGGTGGAGAAGATTAGATGTAAGAAAAAGCAGATGGACGGGGCCATCCTTTTGTGGCTGCAAACCAATATATCAAATAAGATTTAAAGAGTAATTGCCACTTTGCCCATTCAGGACAAAGCGATAGAATCTGCTAATAGCCCACCTGCCCAGCAAGTTATATTCCCCCATCCACACTTTGTGGGAGCCGAGTCTCGGGGTGCGAGCCGAGTCTCGGGGTGGGAGCCGAGCCTTGAACGGGCTAGTGGCGGTGTCTCTTTAAAAACTGCACTTTTACTAAAGACAATACATTTGTACATGTGACAGAAGTCTCTGGAAAATGCCAACATAATGGGTATACCTTGCTCCAGCAATACTATGGGCAGCCTCCTGATATGGAGTACATCCTACTGTGCTGTGAAAAATCTAACATCAGGAGACGTATCACACCTGCCAAACACGGCTTAAATAATGTCCACTGAGCCTGGTGGAATATTATTGGCCGAGCAGGAACTGCATTCAATCAGATGCTGTTTCTGGTGGTACAGCTGTCTGAATACATTAGGTCAGCAGAGAAGATTCCATAAACACATGTTTAGCAAGGATGGGGGAAACTGACCAATGTCTCTTGTTGTGCCCTCAGGGCTGAAATAGAAATTTACATGTATATGGCTAGCCTAAAGCTTGCCATACACCTATAGATTTTCTATGGTCAGATGGAAAAAGTGCAACAGATTCTTCCATCTACGCTAAACTGTGTGGATGGAGGAATACTCCCACTGGGCCAAGCTTCAGTATCTTGCTAGTCCGCCCCGCTGACTTTCAAAATACCTGAAGAATGCCTGCATCCAATCAGATTGTTCAGGTATTTTGACAGCCAGCTGTTCTGACTAGCAAGATACTGAAGTGCGTGTGGATGGGGGAATCTCCTACTGGGCAAGTTTAGTGTAGATGGAGGAGTCTGTTGCACTTTTTCCATCTGACCACAGAAAATCTACATGTGTATGCCAACTTTACTCATTGTGTTCTATATAAAGCAGGTCTTCACACTGGCATCCTCTTTGGTGGCCAGGAGAAGCTTTTTCACAGCAAAGATGAAAGCAAACACAGGGCCACACTGTTGGAAACAGGGTTCCTCCTCAGTAAATTTTAAAGAATACAAGGACAGGTATAAATGCATAATGTTTAGTGCAAATATACTTAAAGGAGAACTATGAGGCGAGTGAAAATCACTCAGCCTCATAGTTCGAGCCGACGTGTGACAATTAAACTGTCACACGTCGGCTCAATAGATCGGGAAGTAGCTCGCGATATACTGAGCTTTGGGTCACGGGAGGACGCTAGTTTGTGAAAAACACTTACCCCATAGTTCTCCTTTAAAGCGGAACTACAACCTCCAAACCCTTACAGCTAAGGAAAGTGCCATCTTATCCTCTATGTGGATTGCCGCTGTCATGGTGCAGCACATGTGATCAGCTATGACACCAGCCTTTAAAGGCTTGAAAGTTCAGTTGAGAGCTGAAATAAGCACTGGCAACCCTGACAATTATCATGCCTTAAAAAAAACTGTTTTGAGAAACATGACATTGCTGGGAAAAGTTCTTCTTTAAATGTACACTGTCTGTATGCAAATGTAAAAGACAACGTATTCCATGTAAGCAATTGCGGGTCATACTAACCAGGATATGGCACTCTTCCTTTAGTGGTCAGCTCTGTTAGAAGAATTCCAAATGACCAGACGTCAGATTTAATAGTGAATCGTCCATACAGGGCAGCTTCAGGAGCAGTCCACTTAATAGGAAACTTGGCACCTAATAGAGAGAAATGAGTACATATATTTACAACGAGATGTCACCAAGCACCAGTGCTGTCACATGAGGAAGAAGATAGTCACGTCCTCTATACCTGGATGTCCAGGTTTTCCTCAGTAATAGCAAATTAAAAGGAGCGGCTAGGGTGTGAAGGAACGGTGAGTGTGTGTGCTGCTGGGGAGGGATTACAGCAAAGACGTGAGCAGATCTGACTGCAGCCATATCTGTTCTTTACATATGAACGTTCTACTTCTTGGACAATTGCACATTAAAGGGGAACCTTACGCTTATCTAACAGACACATTTAGAAATGTTTAGTAATGACAATCTACAAACAGATACTTATAGATAACTGCAGGATTTGTATTCTTTACATACCCTATTTTTCCTTTCCTCCCCAGTCTTCTCACAGCGGCCATTTTTACTGAGGGCAGATTCATATATCTCCCTTTACTTCCTGGAACTCTGGCACATGTGACTAGGTCATGTGACCACTCACATCTCAGGGGAGGTAAATGCCTTTCCCTGAGATCTCTTAAGATTACAGATGGGATTTCCCAGCAAAGCTCTGCTGATGTAACCTTCCCAGGATGCAATGCTTGGGCACAGATTACATCACTAATGCCCCAACAGGACCAGGAAGTGGAAAAACAGTAATTGTAAGTAAAAGAAAAATGTTTAACTAATGAATGTAAGATGATTTCATATTAGCATGCAGAGCTGAATGCCGAGGTGATTTTTTTTAGTGTAAGGGGGTAAAAGGTCAATTTTAATGTTCCTTTCTAACAGAAAGCTTAGCGGTTTGGGAACTGGTTGAAAAATCATACACACGCTATTACTTTGTGACTGAGATTTTATCCCAGAAGTAGATCAGTGACCAATGAAATACAGACGGCCATCGGAGGAAAAAATACAAATCTGTACACATGAACAAGCATTGCAATATGGTACGGAAAATACAATAAAAACGAGTGGGGGGGGGGAAATCACATTTACATTTTACAGGGAATCTGACATTTGGAGATCTGCCATTGCTATTGTCCTGATGGTGACTTCACAAGCTACGGATTTGTTAACCTGGAATAAGCCAGCTGAAATAGTGTTTAGGTATTCCAAACATCACTGGTTGCATACCTGTGGAGTGACGCACTAGAGTGCGTCACTGCACTAGACGCACGCAAGTCGAGAAATCAGAAAGGGATGACCCCCCCTGGGGTGTTTCCCTTAAAAAAAAAAAAAAAAAAAAAAAAAAAAACCATGTAGACCCCCCAGGCACTACTTCCTGTGTTGCAGCCTAGTGTTGGCTGGGGTCAGAGGGAGAGGTGACACCACCACTAGGTCATGCGACATGACTTGGTCCTAGGGATTTGCTGCTTGGCCATAGCATTGCATCTCAGTATGGAAGAAGTCACATGCTCTAGGTATTTTGCAGTGCTGGGGAGATGGCATATACATAGACCTAGTCACGTTGCACTGATTCTACTGGGTGACAGGGTCTCTTTAATGACAAGACTGCAATAACAAAGCAAAATATCTGCTCGCTAAACGACATCTAGAGTTTCACTTTAAGAAATTAGGATACATTGTGTTTTTGTAAATCTGGTTTAGAATGCTGTGTAAACAGAAAAACAGCTGGTACAGCATAATGATATGGAGCAGCGGCATACTGGAGATAAACAGGCCCCTGTATGTAATTAAGTGGTGTACGTGTGTAATTATGTGCAGACCGCAGTGGATGGTGATTCAGAGATGGTGGCCATACCTTGTCTTGCTGTGTATTCATTATCTTCTATCAGACGAGCCAGTCCAAAGTCGGCTACCTTACATACCAGGTTCTCGCCTACGAGGATGTTGGCGGCTCGGAGATCACGATGCACGTAGTTCATCCGCTCTACATATGCCATTCCAGAGGAAATCTACCATAAAAGAAAGCAGAATCATGACCTGTACATTGAAGCGATTCATGAAAAACAGAGCCTATCCTAAGCGAAAGTGTCACACTGACAGGGCATAGAGCAGGGGTGGGCAAACTTTGGGCCCTCCAACTGCTGTGGCACTACACATCCCATGAGACATTGCCGGATTCTCATAGGCTTGGCTTCTTAAGACAGATGTATCATGGGATTTGTAGTTTTACCACAGCTGGAGGGCTGGAGTTTGCCCACCCTTAGCATAGAGGCGGTGTAGTGTTCTTCCTACAATAACCCTTAAAATAAATAATTTAAAAAGGTGGACATCTGGCAAACAGCTAAATATACAGTAGAAAGGTATGGAAGCGGTTTTACCAGCCAAAGGATTTACATTTTTGTCTATGCCTGGCACAGAGAGGTTGGTGGCCCGACTTTCTTTGCTGTATTTTTCACCTCTGTCCCGAGCCTATTCCGGTCTCTACTGCTGTCAGCAAACATGCAAGTTATACTCACCCCATCCTTGGAGAAGGCCAGCTGAGACAGCACTCCCTCCAGCCTGTCTTCTCCTCCGCTGCAGTGATGCTATGTCCCTCGACACCCTATACACAGTGTATGACTTCGAGACCTTAGACCACTGGAGTGGTGGGGGAGGGGGGCACGACCCTGGAAGGACCGGTCTAAGAGCCAGCTGGCTCCAAGGATAAAGTAAGTATAACTTTATTTGATACCCTAGACCAAAATGAACCATCTCCGCACTGCAAGGGTTAATAACAGTTTTGCCTGGCGTTCTGCTTTAATTATATTTAATCAATATACAGTGGCATAACATTTTGTGAGGTTTTTTTGCCTCTTCAAAAAAGAAAATGTTTCTGTGATTCGGCCCTCCAGGAAGAATCCTTAAATGCTGCTCGTCTCTGGGTAGAAGGGGTTGCTACTAAGCTGGTCACTTGATCATTTCCCAGTAAGCTGGTGACTTCTAATCAGACAAATATTCACAAGGACACTGGAAGATGTGTACAATCGGTTTACTGGCACAGGTCATGCTTGCTGTGTTTCTGAGAGCCTACTGCCAATCCCAACACTTGTTACACAGAGGTATGTTTGAGTTCCCAGCTACAGGTGACAATACCTATTGGAATTCGGCTTTTGCTTAATGTTCACTTGGAATAAAAGTAAACAGACGTACCTGTGCAGACATGTCTACAAGCTGTGGAAGTCGGAGGTAGCCGCCCATATCGCTTTTAAGAACGTCCAAAAGACTGCCTGTGGTGGAGAAACAGAAGAAGACACTAAGACACTGATGATGAGGAGCAAACATACTATTATCTGGTCTCACTGGGGCCGCTAGATTGCCTAAATCACTCTTTCACTCCAAAATCATACTGGCAGGTTCTTCATTACTTCATATTGAGGTGCATCTAAAAAGGAGAACTATGGGGTCAGTGTTTTTCCCCATAGTTCTCCTTAGGGTCACGGGAGGACACAAACTAGCGTCCTCCCGTTACCCTAAGCTCAGTATACCGCAAGCTATAGCTCGCGTTGTACTGAGACGCCGCAGCCGGAGCGGATCCCGACTTAGATGACGGGATCCGCCCAGCTGTGTGACAGCTGGCTCTGCCTATCTAGAGGCAGAGCCAGCTGTACCCGCCCCCTCCGTTCCGTCAGTCAGCGCTGGCAGATCGGAGCGGGGAGAGGGGAATTCAGCCCCTCCCCCTGTCACGGCAGAGAGCCGTGACAGGATCGAGAGGTGAGCGAACCCGGGATGTGTTCGCTCACCTCCCGATCTACTGAGCCGACCTGTGACAGTCTCATTGTCACAGGCCGGCTAGAACTATGAGGGGAGTGAAAAGCACTCACCTCATAGTTCTCCTTTAAACAGCCTGTGTGTTTTTGGGGGCTCCGGTACCTCCTCTTCCTCAGGGGTTGGATTCTACGTGAACTTTAAATTTTAAGTCTCAATTTGGAAAATGACTAGGAGACAGTCTTGCGCTGGCACTCATCAGCTGTATTATGTCAGTTACTATTCAAGCTGCTGCTCTCATTCCTATAATTCCCAATTCATGCAAAATCCAAGCCCTGACAAAAAGGTGGGTGCCAGAGCCCCTGAAAAGTGTTGGATGTTTATCTTCACCCCAATATCAACTAATTAAACCATGTTTGGACTCTTTGGGTTTGGTGCTTATTACATCTTTATCTTTGACCCTGTGTCCCCTAGCTAAGCGTTCACTGGTTTTAGGAGAGCAGCACTGCCAGAGCAAGTGAGCTGTACACACTGGGCTGACTTTGCACAATCACGAGATATTAAAAACAGAAGATCCGGAGCCTTGTCCCCACACCTTCCACAATACAAACCTGGCAGGGGTTCTGTGCCTTGTCCAAAACTAAGAAATAAAAGTTTACTGGGCTTTCATTTTCAAGTTTAACTGGGGCATTGCTCTGAAGGGCAGCACAGTGGCTTAGTTAGTACTTCTGCCTTGCAGCACTGGAGGTCCCCAGTTTGAACCCCGGTCAGGACATATCTGCAAGGAGTTTGCATGTCCTCCTTGTGGGTTTCCTCTGGGTCCTCCTGTTTCCTCCCACACTCCAAAGACATACTGGAAAGGAAATTAGCTCCTGTCTAAATCAGCTCTCTATGTATGCATGCACAACAGGAACCTTCGATTGTAAGCTCCTTGAGGGCAGGGACTGGTGTAGGTAAAGCGCTTGCGTAAATTGTTGGCACTATATAAATACCTGCAATAATAAATACGTTTACCTTTCTGACCATGTTTAATCTTATACATTTCGGGTGCATTATGAAACCTGCGCAGATTGCAAATACACCAGGCGGTCTCAGAGCCACAAGCTATATACCATATACGTATGCGTGTGTGTGTCTCACCTCTATTCATATACTCTGTCACAATATAGATAGGCTCTTCGGACACCACTGCATACAGCTGGACAAGTTTCTCATGTCGGAGTTTCTTCATGACCTGTGCCTCCTGCAAAAAGGCCTCCGGGGACATAGTGCCTGGTTTTAGGGTTTTAATAGCCACCCGTGTAGTGCCATTCCATGTACCTAGCAAAGTAGGAAAGTAAAAATTACACAAACGAAGCGAAAAACTCACAAAACACTATAGCTACATGCACACAGGCCGACCGAGGATTCCTTCGCCAAGAACCTATGGAGTCTTGCAGCAGGAATCACCAGCTGCAGCTTAAAGCCCCATGTGAATGGGGCCTAAATATTCCCCTTCACACTCTTGGTAGATCAAGATGAACTTCTGTACCTATGAACTTATGACCAGGCCTTCTTGACATTTATGGGTATTCATGGTTTATTACAGATGACTTTGTCCAGATGAACAGCCATTATCCAGAGATGGTTCCATGATCTTTAGCATTACTAAATTATATAAATATATATTTATATATATTCATGGCACCGTGGTATGCACCAACAGTCACCTCAGTGTAAGAATGGAAGATGTGGCATTATACATGGAGAATACGTACCCATCCACACTTCTCCAAAGCAGCCCTGTCCCAGCTTAAGCTCCAGACGTAGAGAGTCTCTAGGAATTTCCCAGGCATCCTTTGCCAAACCTTGAGTCTGTGGCTTGGACGTGGGACACACAGTGGTCAGCCGGTGACACAAGCCATCTGCATGTTCTGGGGAGACAGAGAAAACCTGTTGAGGAGTGCTATCAAAAGGGTAAATTAAAAGAACAGTTGGCGTACATAGGAAAAAAGGGTGCAGATAATCTCTCTTCCAATCACAAATGTGTCCTGAAGTTGACTTATCCCAGTGGTCAACAAATGGCGGGCTGCAGTACAGGCACGACCCGCGATCACTTACTTGTACTGGCCGACAGTGTATACACAGACCTATGAAGCCAGTGTTTCCACTGCCAGCCATATCCCACCGCCGGACCCCCCCCCTGCTTCAGTCACTGGTTGCTAGGACCGCTGGCTTCCTAGCAACCAATGACATCAGGTAGGCAGGGCCAGCTCCTCAACTACAAGTGATCTGACTGGCTGTACAGCCACCCAGCTCACTTGTACTAGTTGATTACTGTGACTACTTTACTTACCGAACCACTTTGTATTTTAATTCCCTACCCCTGACCTATACTCAAAGAATGAAAATTTGCTATCTTATAGGGAATATAGAACCTCCGCCAGGTCTTTACTGCTTTATGTGGCTCTATTAGAAAGATTTACCCTTACTTCCTGTCTTACGGACAACATATACCACCCAGGGCGTGAGGGGAACTCTCCAACAACAAAACAAAGATTTTCTTTAGACGAGTAGGTGAAGGCTAGAACACCCTCATCAGATTTTTATTTCTGTGTCCCTGTTGCTGATTTTTCCTCACTTCTCATCTGGTGAAACTGCAGTGAGCAGAACAGGAAGTGAAAAAATAAATTTTTATAGCAGAGCCCCAGATAGCAGTAAAAACCTAAGAGGAGGTCAAACCTTTCCCACTCTTTTAGCTTGACATACACTTTAATTTAGTCAAAGCCGTAACTTGAAGATATGCCTGAAAAATATCAGTGCACTTCCTGACATGGGACAAGTACATATTCTCCCTGTGCTTGCGTGGGTTTCCTCCGGGTGCTCTGGTTTCCTACCACACTCCAAAGACATGCTGGAAGGTTGATTGGCCCATGTCTAAATCGGCCTTGTATGATTGTGAGATAGGGACCTTAGACTGTAAGCTCCTTGAGGGCAGGGACTGATGTGATTGTGCACTATGTAAAGTGCTGTGTACATCGTCAGTGATATATAAATACCTGTAATTAACAATAAATGACATCACTGGCTTTGGAAGGCTTGCAGCTCTAACATGAACTGTATGGCGTGCAATAGTGACATGTACATCTTCAGCTCCGGCAACCCCCTAAAAACATGTCTCGGCTTTAACGCTCTTTGCCTTCTGAAATACTTCCTTTGTCCTTATTCCGGTGCTGGGACACTTGTATATGCAGGACCAGCATGAAAAACAGCTGCTTCCTGAGCACTTCAAAAGGTAACACGAGACCGTGAAATTGTCTTCAAAATCCTCCTAGTTTCTCAAACAGAAGCATTGTAGAAAAAAAGACGACACATGGTCATCCTGTCACTCCGTCTGCTGTGTAGTCCTGCCACACATGGTATGTGTTTTACTACCAGTGCCACTGAATGGAGCATCTTTGGGACAAAGATCCGGGGTGTTTCATCTGCTACTCAGAGATTCAACCGCTCGGTGACTATCGCACTGAAATACATTTGCAGCTATTAAATGCCTGCCTCTAAGTGGTTAAACTGTGTAGCCCTTAAAGTGATAGTCAAAAGATGTTGAAGCCATTTCAACAGCTGATGAAACCACTTACAGTGGATGCTGCTTCGTTTTTTTAAAAGTTTTTGTTTCCTGCAGAATCAGCTGGTTCCATAAGCACTGGTCTTGATATGCTGTTTTAGGGTGGATCCTTTCCCTTGCAGGGTCCTGTGGAGCTACCCTTGTGTGTGCTAGTAAGCTTTGTGTTTCTCCACACAGTTTCCGCAAGACGCTCCCCTCTCCCTGCTACCCGTCCCTTCTCCTAGCTAGTAGATGGTCAGTTGCTGGAGTCTGCTCTGTCCCTTGTGATTTTGTAATGGACAGGAAGTTCAGGGAAGCAGAGCTGAGAGAACTAGGGGAGCTGTTTAGAAAAATGATGGTAAGTGCTTGGAGGAAAAACATTTTAGGAAATACTTTGCTGGGCAATGTATATTTGTTTGATCTGCAGTTTGAGACTTTAATACTACTTTAAAGATAGTCATGGTGTGAAATGAGACTCAGCAGCACAGTGCAATAGAGACAGCTTTACATGCACTGCGCTTTAACCCTTTCTATGTTTTAATAAATCCTTTATGTTTGTTCCAAGGCTGAGGTGACAATTCCTCCACTAGAAAATGTCCCCATCCCCATCTTTGCGTGGCTCAATCCCCTTACAGCATCCCATGGAGTCACCTTTGCATGTGCACTCCTGGTAGGCAATACTCCCTGCACAGAAAGATAGCCCTGGTGATAAGCCACCCCCACCTCTATCCTCCAAGTCAATGACTGACACCAGCTGGAGCCTGCACTGTCTCCAGTGCACTGCACAGGGCATACACTGCCCTACCTGGAAGTTCAGGGAAGCTGCACTGTGGACCCCGAGCAGATGGCAGTGATTAAAGAAACTATTTGGGCACACTGGGGCATGTATTATCTTAATACTGAGAATGCTTTAATGTGTGGAACAGTCAATAACTGCAACTGGAATTTCATTATTAAACCAGTGCTATGGCACTACACCACCGCTGTCTGTATCTGCCGGCGCAACACCGATATCATATAAAGTAGGGATGAAACTATACCGGTTTTTTTGGTATCGAGTGCAAGTGCCGATATTTATCTTTCAGTACTCGCCAATACCGGTACTTCCACAAGCATGGAGCTGCCTTCCCGGCCACTCGGTAAGCTGGGCGACGGGTAATGACACACTGCCCGGCTTCTTGATTGCCCGGGAAGCTGGCTCTATGCTGTTTGGCTGGGAAGCCGGCTTCCTGGCCAATCAGCATCAAGCCTGTGTTCTATCACTTCAGAACACTGGCCAAACAGCATGGAGCCAGCTTCCCAACCAATCAGGAAGTCGGGTCATTACTCGCCACCCGGCTTCGTGATTGGCCAGGAAGCCGGCTCCATGTTCCCTTGTGGCACTGCATGTCAGGGAATATCTGGTCTGGTATCGGGGTAAGTATCAGAGCATTTGGGCGTGTACAAGTACTCGCCCAAATACTCGGTATCGGTGCATCCCTAATATAAGGCACAGACGGCAGTGCCAACAACTAACAGATCCAACACTACCAAATGCCCTAAGATTAGATCCCCGATAACGTGATGGCTTTGTTTTCTTTCATACACTAAAAGTGATTATTGATCTCCAACTGGCAGGAGTTTCCAAGACTTTATATTGACACGCAGGGGGGGGGGGGGGGGGATTTATCAAACCGGAGCAGACAGAATCTGGAGCAGTTGCCCATGGCAATCAATCAGCTTTACTGCTATCACGCAGGTGATAACAAGCCCCTGATTGATTGGAGGTGACAGTTTCTCTTCATGGAGCCTGCCCTCCAATACAGGATATTAAGCACAGCATGGTGCTCGATCTCCTGTGCAGCTGAGACAGGAAGTGTACAGCTCTCCAGCCTCTCTCTCCAGTTTGGTCAGTGAAGCTTTGAAAATGGAAGATAAAAGTCGACTGGTTGCCATGGGCAACTACACCAGTTTTGATAAATTCCCCTCAAGGTGCCTTACCTTCCTCCACAAATTTCAATATTAATGTCAGATGGTTACGCCGATTCCGATAAATACTCCCAGCCCTGTAAATGCCCCTTTGAAGCGTATTTAAACCAAGACTAAAAATTCAACTGGCAGCTCATCAGCCCACATGATGGGCTGGCTGCATTCGTTTTCAGCGTTATTCAGGCTTTTCTTGCCTTTAATTTCACCTGGTGAGCCTACATGTAACACTCTCCCTGCCCTATGGTGACCATAAAATTTATCTATTGAGGATTCACAGGCGGCGTGTGCAAGGACTTCAGAAAACCTCCCGCTCTCCTAATCTACAAACATATAGGGGAGGCATTATGTAATCCACAGTGGAGAACCTGTCAGTGCTTGAGATTTCAGTGCAGCACAAGCAGAGAGCAAATGTTAGGAGCTTACTGGCTTTTTAATGACAATTCTTTATATAGCGCCAACATACAAGACAAGTAAGAAACACCGACAATCTCCATTGACCTACAGAAACAGTAGGCGAGGAGGACCCTGCCCAGCAAGTTGTTTTATAACAAGATATAACAAAATTCTCATATTAAAGGAAGCAAATTAGAGAAATTAAAAAGGCTTTTGGCTTCCTGGTAAGCTACAATGTGTCAAATTTTAGTTTTTGGGTTGAGTTATATACAAGTTCTCTTGCTTGGGTTTCCGCCAACAACTAGTACAGGCCTCTTGATCAGCTTCCATCCAAGCGGGCTTCCATCCAAGACTATAGATGGTAAGCTCCTACAGGGCAGGTACTGACGTGCCTATTTCTAGGCATTCCATAAAGCTCTGTGAGCAGAATCCAATTAAACCTAAATATTAAAAATTTCATTCTGGATGGCTTATTGCTCAGTTATAAATGACCTCAATCTTCCTGTTGTCCCTCAGCTGCTGCCTCCGCCAAGGGCCTGAGACTTTTATTGGCTCAATTACCTTCCACCTTCAAAGGCAGAAAATAACCTACACATCCTGACCTCACCCGCCCCTCCGACTTCTTTGCCTGGAAACCTAAGTCCCTTCTCTTCCGCCTACATGAATTGCACCCAATGCCGCCATCGCCCTCTCAGATCTTACTGCTGTAATAGGCCACCAGCTGCTGGAGATTGCTGAACTGAGTCCGAGATGTGATGTAGAATCCGCCGCTGTCCAATTTGCGGATCTTATAATGCTTGACGTTCAGTCCGCGGTTGGGATCGTAGTCTGATACAGACAGGCAATAAGCACCTGGAAGATAAGAAAAAAAGAAGTCTATTAGGCGTGATATTGTACGAGTTAATCAGTTTAATAAAAAGGCATGACTGAGCAAATGTTCACATGAAACTAGTAAATGAGTCAGATTTTTCAGTGTTTAAAGAACTCCGGGCAGAAATAATCATGATCCTTGCAGTGGGCCTAGCCACCCCCTCCCCCTCCTGCAAGGGTTAAGTGCTTGTTGTCCTTTAGAAAAACAAGATTTTCTTTTAGGCTGGCTGCTAGACCGGTGCCCTCAGCCTCTTTTCTGTATTTTTGGATGCTGCAGATCTTGGTGAAATAACTGCTGTGTTCTTTTTCAGGGGGTGCAGAACGTTTTTTTTAAAAACTACTTGTACAAGGACTAAAGCAAGGGCCTAATCGACTTGTCCCCCATGACCATCTAACTCGTCCCCCATGACCATCTTACTCGTCCCCCATGACCATCTTACTCGTCCCCCATGACCATCTTACTCGTCCCCCATGACCATCTTACTCGTCCCCCATGACAATCTACTCGTCCCCCATGACAATCTACTCGTCCCCCATGACAATCTACTTTTCTTGATACAAAACATAATTTTAACTAAAACCTATAAAACCCCTTAAGGGCCCTTTCGATGCCGAGGCCTTTTTCCGTTTCTTTGCACATGATATAAGCCACATTGTAGGCCTAAAAATTACTTCAAACCCTCAAACATTATCTATTTTCTGAAAGCCAAGACCCTGTAGAATAAGATGGTGGCACTATACTGGCCCGCAGAAGCGATGTGGCGACAGCCGAGTCGCCAGAATCGCTTCTATTGTAAAGCCGACAGCCGGTTTTACAATTGTAAACAGAGTCCCGGCGGCTGTTTAAACGGGCACGCTGCCAATGACATACTGAGTACGTCGCTGGTTGCCAAGAGGTTAACCTTGCTAAGCAGCTCTTCTTATTGGTCAGTGCGATGGTCAGGTGACTACGCTGACCAACGAGGCTCGCAATTTGCAAGCAAAATTCAAAATCCATGGTGCAGGGCTGCGTTGGGGTACAGATAGTACACCCGTGAACTCACTCTTGAATGTGCATTGTGTGCGTTAGAGAGCTCTGCTGCCCCGCTATCACAATATGGCGCAAAGTGGAATGGGGGCAGTACGCAAGCACACAGTATGCCCCGTCTGTGTTTATTTGCATGCAGATGACGGGGGCAGTTTTACATTTTTATTTTATAATTTTTTTACTTCTGATCAATTTTTTTTTCTTCACTTTACTGCTATCACACAGGGGAAAACAAGCCCTTGTGCGATAGTGTTTGGAGGTGACAGGTTCTCTTTATGGAGCCTGCCCTCCAATACAGGATATTAAGCACAGTATCGTGCTCGATCTCCTCTGCAGCTGAGACAGGAAGGCTATGAGTACAGCTCTCCCGTCTCACTGATCACACAGAGCATTCTCCGTGTGCAAAAAAATTTAGACAAAAAAAACACCTGCCCGGCGCCCGGAACTACATGTCCCTGGTGTCAGGAATTCCGCACCCCTGATATCATCTCACCAGCGAGAACCTAAAACATGCACCATTAGGCCTCAGGTCACAGACATGATTCCGTCGCAGTCAACAAGCTTTTGTCAATCTGCACTGGCATGTAACCTGAAGCATACGTAAAGTCACATTTGAAATGCCGCCCTCCTCTGTGTATTACCCTACTTATAAACAGAAACGCCGGTGCTGCAACAAATACATACAAGCAGCCCCGGCTCGCTGTGTTCTACAAAGCCTGGACCTTTAGGAGGCTTCCTGTATGCATCCGCGACAAGGGGTCAGATCGGTGCAGATCCAGAAAAAAAAGCCTCCTTTGCCTGCAGAGAACAATTTTTTATTTTTGTCTACATCAGAAAAAAAAGGAAACCGGATTCTAATTGGATGCTATAGACACACTTTTCTTTGTTTTTGAGGAAATGTTGTTCCGGGAGTTCCTGTCATTCATCAACATCAAGCTCTGGATATACAGCTTCCTCTGTTCACTTGCACCAGCGATGTATACGGAGAGGCTGGATGGACGATCCAGAGAAAAAGATATAAATCATCAGCTCGGAGTCCAATTCTGATCGAGTTACAGCACTCTGGACTGTCATCTACATGCATCTCCTTTAGCACATAGGACACACAAGCAACTGGCACACATCAGATCTCAGCACTTCCATGTGCAATGCTTCCGGCATTGTCAAGGTATACAGGAGGGTCAGGGTGGCCCAGCAGAGAGTGCGATATTCAATATATGGGTCGGCCGAGCTCTGGTTGGCCCATACAACCGCCCCCACAGACACACAAATAACAGTCTATATCGGGGTAGCCAAACTCTGGCCCTCCAGCTGTGGTGGAACTACAAATCCTATGAGGCATTGCAAGATTCTCACAGACATGACTCCAGGAGAGAGATGCCTCATGAGATTTGTAGTTTCACCACAGCTGGAGTTTGGCAACCCTTGATCTATATGGATGCACCTGTATGCACTGTGCCCCTGCAAGCTACACGTTCAGACACGGCTTGTATGGAAAAGCCAATAAAGTGTACGTAAACCCTAACCCTTGTCTTAAATTGTATTGTGACTAATGTCTTCCTTATGTTGTAAAGCGCTGTGCAAACTATTGGCGCTATATAAATCCTGTATAATAATAATTGTGTATATTGATCTGTGGAGTATCATGAGGCGCGGTATCCATTGTGTCCAAAGCACCGAGACAGCAAAATGGAAGTGAGAAGACAAGCAGTTCAGAGGGACAGAACACGCCATGCCACCATAATAATAAAGGAGCAGGCAGTGCATTGTGGGTAGCGGGGGAGACAGGTTTGCTTTGTTTGGAGCATCACCATGAGGTAACAGCATGAGACGGAGCCTGAGGCGACGAAATGACAGAGGCATGAAATGAACAGGCCCGTGTGAAGATATGTGGAGGAATTAGACTTAGAAAGACGTAGCCGACGGCTCCGGGCCTGCCTGTGGCTTCCATTGCTGCAGAATGAAAAAAGGAACACGTCAGGACTGGGGGACTACAGACGGCATCTATCCTCCCAGCTCCGCACACAAGAAGAGCCCCGAGGCCTCCGGAACACACATCGCTTCTGGTTGCTACGGGTAACACGAATATTCATCTCACTGACCCACTTATTGCTGCGGCTCCCTCCCCTCCCCCTTCACTGCCATCGGCGGCCTTACAGAGGAGGGGGTGGGGGGGATGTATGGTGAGAACCAGAACAGGAGAGCAAAGAGAAGACTCGCACAGACACAGCGTTCCCCATACTAAGTCTACATCCAGCTTCTGTACTAGACACACTCCCTCACATTCATTGTACAACACGGCGCAAAAAGCGAGGAGTGAATGCAAAGTGTAGGCACCGGAAATCTCTACACATATACGCATTATTGTTGGCTTTCCCTGGTCCTTGAACACGGACTGCAGTTAGCTGGTTGCAGTCATGTTCAGCCGAGAATTTTAAGACCAAACACTGACAACAGTTGATTGAAAACCTGACTTTTGTGGAACGGAGGGGTGCTGATGGGGGCCACAGGCTGGCTGAACGTTGGCTTGTTCTTAGACCGCTCCCCGGAGCCTCTCTCCCCCTCTAAGGATTCTCGAGTCTTCCCGTTCTATACACATTGTATAAGATGTGAGGAAGCCGAGGGACATACCATCACTACACCCCCCCCCCCCCCCCCCCGCCCTTGGTGATGAGGCAGCATGAAGCCGGCTTTCTGGCCAATCGGGAAGCCGGACGGCGTGTGATGACTCGGTAAGCTGGCTTATCAGGAAGCCGGGTGGCAAGTAATTACCAGCCCCCCGATTGGCCAGAAAGCCGCCCCCATGCTTCATTACCTGGTGATGAGGGAGCATGGAGCCAGCTGCCCACTAATCAGGAAGGCGGTTGGCGAGTCATTACACGCCGCCCGGCTTCCTTAACCTCCCTGGCGGTATTCCCGAGTCTGGCTCGGGGTTAATTTTCCATACCAGGAGCGGTAACCCCGAGTCAGACTCGGGAATGCACAGAAAATTGTCACTTACCTTGTCCCTACGAGCCCGCGGCGTCCTCTGCTGTACGCGGCCGGCATCTGAGTTTCAGTTTAGTTTTCGGGCGTCACAGCGTCGGGCGGAGTCGGCGGGAAATTCAAAAGTGAAAAATGACATTTACACAGAATACAATGTAATCTGCTATAATTACACTTATGTATCAAACTATTTCACTTCAATTTTGTCCCTAGAGCTCTGTCCAGTGCCCTGCCTGCACTTTTATTGTTCTTTCTGCCTGGAAACTTGTGAACATCCATGGCATCCAAAAAGCGTCCCTTTAGGTCAAAAGCGGTTTTAGACCAGGTAGAAAACAGCGATAGTAAATTAGAATCACTTGCAGAATTGAGCGATAGCGATTCGTTGGGAAATTCGTCCTCAGACACTTTCAGTGTCTTTCAGAGACTTTCAGTGTCTGAGGACGTATTTCCCAACGAATCGCTATCGCTCAATTCTGCAAGTGATTCTAATTTACTACCGCTGTTTTCTACCTGGTCTAAAACCGATTTTGACCTAAAACAGCGACGATTCTGCGACCAAGCTCAGTGATTTGCGAACTTGGTACTCTATTGACTGTGGTACGGATCAAGCAGCGCCCCCAGAATTCCCATTTACTGGACCATTTTTTTAATTATTGTATTATAATTTGTTATAATTATTTATTATATTATAATTTCTTATAATTATTTATAATTTATTAAATTATAATTTTTTAATTTCGTGTTTCAAACTTTATCATACCTGGGATGTCTACTGGACTCTTGTTTGGACAGATTTAGGTGAGTTATTCCTAAGATTTACTAAGAATTGCAGGCCTACAATACATAACACCAAATTTCCATGCAAAAAATTGTACCGCTTTTGGTACAAAATTCCTGACATAATCATACCGCCAGGGAGGTTAATGAGACTTCTGGTGTCGGTACTCGATACTGAAAAACCGGTATCGGTGCATCTTTAATATATATTAAAAAGCAGAGGCATTCCCTGGCCTGCAGCTACACATACCAATGAGGCAGGGAACGCCCCGGCAGCAGCTGTTCAGGCCAGGAGGGGCATTCATCACTGGCGGTTGTGTGCGGGCTCACACATATACCTAATTCTAAGTCAGAATGGCCTCCACCATGCTGATCATAGACTTCAGAGGATGAGCATATGCTGGCTGACCAGAGACAGAGACAGAAAACCTGATCCAGTCAGTTTGAATGACATGTCTATGGATAGACCGCCCAAAGAGTTGCTCAACACCATCAAAATCTGGTGCCACTCGGCATTCCACAATACAGCCAGCAAACAAAATCCACCTGTGACTGATAGATAGGATTGCAAAACACAAGAACAAAGTAAAGAAATCCAGGTAGATGAATATAAGGAAAATGAGTCCGATGACTAGTAAAGATCCGAGCCACATTGTAAACACACGTGTATAATCTTTCATTACGGTTAGATAACACACACACACACGTGTACTGAGGTTTAGGTCAGATAACTGCTCATTGTCTGCGGACATTTGCATCATCGACATCCTTTTGGACATATCACTTCCCAGCAACAATGGCTGATCAATTAACACGGCCAATTCTTTGGAAAAGATGCAAATGTGTTGCTCTGCATTTTGAGAAGAGTTGATTGTGGACTCGGCTGACGTATGACCAGTGTATGGCCAGCTTAACTGAGAACAAGCCAATCTTTTGTTTTGCCTTTACTTCTCTCGTGTCACAGGAGTTCTATTATTATTATTATTATTATACAGGACTTGTACAGTGCCAACAGTTTGCCCAGCACTTTACAGTATAAGGAAGACATTACAGTTACATTACTAATGAAGACAAGATGGTAAGGAAGGCCCTGCCCGTGAGATCATACAATCTAAAAAGGGAGGGGCGAGTAATACATGAGGCTGAGGCTGCGTGGGGATGAATTGTTTGAGAAAGTGATAGTTCGGTGGTTAGGTTGACTCTTCATGGATCCCCTAAAGGCAGACAGGTTAGATACCTGGACAGGTTGGGGTAGAACGTTCCAGAGGATGGGAGAAAACCTTCACTAGTGTACTCCTGTGACCCAAAGTCAGCATATAGAAGGCTGCAGGCCGCTATCTGCTGAGAGTGCTGAGCCGCTTTGAAACTAAGAAGGATCAGTCAAATGTAAATATTGTCAGGATCTAACTGGCTGCCTGACTGACCACTGGCTCTGCCTCTATAGAGCCAGGGCCAGCTGTGCCGCCGCCCCCCCCCCCCTCCTCCAATGAGCACTGGAGGAATAGTTAGGGGAATCCCTGTGGGAAGCAATGGCTGTCAGTCACTCCTCTCTGCAGGGAGGAAACTGTGAGCTGAGTGATCGGAGGTTATATGATCAGTCAGCTCTTGATCTATAGAGCTGGCCTGTGACAGATGCAGTGTCCCACACCAGCTCGAAATATCGTGAAGAGTACATTTTACCTTCCCAATACTTAGGGCAGCCTAAATTCAAGTAGAGCTTAGCCCTTTTCTTTAAAATGGACCTTTACTAAAAAAATCACATCAGCATTCAGCTCTGCATGTGGATATGAAATTCTCTTACATTCATTAGTTAAATAAACATTTTTCTTTTACCATAATGGTTTTTCTACTTCCTGGTCCTCTTTTAGTGATGTAGCCTGGGAAGGTTACATCAGCACAACATTGCAGGTAATTCTAATCTGTAATCTCACAAGATCTCAAGGAGAGGCATTTCCTCCTCTGAGATGATGTGCATGGTCACATGTCCTAGTCACATGTGCCGGTGTTCCAGGAAGTAAAAGGGAGATGGAGTAATCTGCCCCTAGTAGAAATGGCCACAGTGAGAAGACTGGGGAAGAAAAGAGAAACAAGGTATGCAAAGAATACAAAGCCGGCAATTATCTAGAAGTGTCTGTTCATAGATTGTCCTTACTAAACATTTCTAGGGGTCACTTTGTTGTTATTTTAAAGATATGGGGAAAGTTCCTCTTTAATCTGACTAGGCATTGGCGTGTGCGTATTGGTGTGCGTGCGTGTATAAATCTTAAGGCAAAGCTCTAAATACTTGCACATTACACAACTCTACCACTTTACACAGTCACACCACTAGTTCTTGCCTCACAACACTACTGATTGCACAGAGGTGATGATGCCGATTAATCTGTCTGGAAGCATTGCTGAAATAGACGAGAAGTGTGTGGCCTGCCTGGCTGTGCGGTGTGTAAACTTCAATAGAATTACAAATCATTTGGCAACTAAAACCGTTCACCTTCTGTATATGTAATTCGGGTAATAAGTGGAAATTCACTTCCAGCACTTCCTGATGTAATGTCCCTACAGGTAAAACAAACAAAGTCCTTCTCACCTTTGGTGGTCTCGCTCTCTCTCACTAGGAAAGTCCCTCGAGGGTTCTCCTGGTTCAGTAACAATCGCTCGGACTCCCTGCGTGTGATCTTCCCAAAATACCACCTGCGGAGGGCAGAGATGACAGTGAACCTCGGTAAGCACATACAGTTGCATATAGTTACTACAAGGCAAGACAGATAAAAGTCAGACATAATAATCCCCTGGGATAACTTTGATGCCCTGCTCCAGTTTACAATGAAGGTTGAACCTTCACTATGGATCATTAGTGGAGGTCCAACCTTCATTGTAAAGTGGAGCTGGACATCAAAGTTATCCCCGGTTCCAAATACTGCGTCAACCTGCTTTCATTATTATGCAAATATTCACTTCCACTCGGTGCTGCTCCAACAGCCAATCTGAAGTCATAGTTTTTTATTATTGTAAAAGTACAAATAACATTTTCATTTTTCCCCCATGAATAAGTGTTTTACAACTATACCAAGTGTGACAGCCGAATGGAGATCCGGACTGCGACCTTCAGAGGTCCAACCACTGTAGTGGCCTAATATAAATGTAAAATAACAATTAGGGATGCACCGATACGGATACTAGTATTGGTATCGATACCGAGTATTTTGGCGTGTACGAGTACTTGCCCAAATGCTCCGATACCTACCCCCGATACCAGAACTTCCGGTCAGAGGGAGATTTCCTCTGACCAGCACTGCCTTGAGGGAACATGGAACCGGCTTCCCAGTCAATCAGGAAGTTGGCCAGGAAGCCAGCTCAATGTCGATTGGCAGGGAAGCTGATTTCCCAGCCAATCAGCCTCGAGCTGGCCAAACAGCATGGAGCTGGCTTCCCAGGCAATCAAAAAGCCGGGCGGCAGCTAAAGACACGCCGCCCGGCTTCCTGATGGCCCGGGAAGCCGGCTTCATGCTAGCGGAAGTACCGGTATCAGTACTCCGTATCGGCGAGTACCGATACCGAAAAACGGTATTGGTTCATCCCTAATATTAATAAAACAAAACACAGAGGGTGTCCGATTCCTGGTTCCCCCTCTGTGCTCATTGGTTTGACCCTCTATCCCCTAAAGCTGGCCATATACTGTGCGTTTCTTCTCCTTCAGCCCCACTTAAAAAATGCTGGATTCCCCCATTCATACCAAACAGTGTACCCCTCTATTGTCTGTTATATTCTAACAGTGGCAAGCGTGCCACTGTCAGAATACCAGAGCAGTGACATAAGGCGATTGGCTGTAGTCATTGTTCGGCCAAGAAGTCTAAAACCAGCTGCGACAAAAGTCAAAAAATCGACTTTTGTCAAACATAGGGGTGCCTAGGGAGCACACACTGGTCAAATTCTTGAGCCGAAAATTAACCAGTGCTTGGCCAGCTTTAGTCAATGCAGTGACGTAAGGGCTTACAGGAGGAACCACCGCTTACAGTGGGGGTACCAAAAATCTGACACTCTGGGAAGTGACCGACCCAAAAGTTTCTTCAGCCAGCAGTTGATCTTTCTTACACTGAAGATCTGTGGCTCAGGAAGTGGTGAGCATTTATTAAGTCTTTGCAACCTTTCATTTAGGGACAGAGTCGCTTTAACCCCTTCATGACCAGTGACGTCCATAGTACGCCATTGGCATCAGGACCGTTTAAACCCGCCGGGACTCTGTTTACATTTGTAAAGCTGATGGGCGGCTTTACAATAGAAGCGATTCTGGCGACTCCGCTGTCGCCAGATCGCTTCAACGGGCCGGTAAATGCCCTCTAATCTGATGACCTGTGGGGGCTTTAAAGCGTCATGTATGAACATTTTGGGGTACTGAATTCTGTTTCAGTTTCATGGACGCACACAATTTTTATCCTGGGCATGTTGGATATTTACTTACTTGGTGTAACCTCATCTTTTATATTTTACAAAACAAATGGGTATTTTATTGTGTTTTGGGGCATTTCATTGTATTTTTCAATTCATTTTCGGGTTTGATAAGGAGTTGCGCTAATATCGTGCAACATAAAAATTTGCAACTGTCACCATTTTATTCTATAGGGTCTAGGCTTTCAGAAAATATATCATGTTTGGGGGTTTGAAGTAATTTCTGGCCTAAAATGTGGATTAGAACATGTGTGCAAAAAAAAAAAAATGGGAAAAAAAAGGCCTTGGTGATTAAGGGGTTAAACAGATACTCCTATAAAGCATTACCAAGGAGCTGAAAGGGAACGCGGGTAAGGTGGAATATATGTGGACAGGGGTGCCCTCTGCAGAAACACGGTCACTTTGCCCTGCATGAGCAAGGCGACAGTCTCCTTAACAGCGCAACAATTGGAAGGCGCCATGAATTATCCTAATGACAAACAATTGCAAGATCCTCATTTTCATACACATGCGGACGGTTCATTGATGGACATTCATTGAATCTTCCAAAAATTGTTTTTGCATTTCAAAATAGTTCTCCTGTGGTTTGACGGTAACAAAGGGATCCCAAACACAGCCAGGCTCACCCATCGAACACCTACAGGTAAAAGATATTTCGGAAGAATTTGTCCCATTACTCACTCTTCAGCCTGAATGGAGTCAGAAGGAGCCACGTAGTTGCTTGGAATGTACCCGGTCTGCCCGGAGGTGAGTGATCGCGCCAACCACCAGTCACCTTCCCTGCGGAGGCAAACAATGACAACATTTTACTCATAGGATGCCTGAGTTGTTGATAGTACATGCAGCCAACGCTCCGGAGATTGCATGCACACACATGTGAGCGCACATTCCACTGTTATAAGCAAGCACATACCTGATATCCGGCCTCCTACGATGCAGCATGTGTGAGAGAGAGAGACGCGGGATCAGACATGATGACAGAGAAAAAAAGCAAAGCAAGAATGTGAGAGCCGGAGCAAGCCAGAAAGTGAGAGAGAGAGAGAGATCAGCACAGGAGCAAGACAGTAGCAAAGAGAATAGCTCATTCATAATCCCTTTTCTCATTAGGAAATCCTCAAAACAAACTGAAAATGCTTCACTTCCATCTGTATTACTAAATATTTCATGTAGTCTTGTGTGTAGATAAACATGATTACTGCACACAGGCATGTTCTAGGTAACGCTGTAAGACAGACATGGAGGCTACCACTACCCCGACGTCCAATTCTAAAAGTGAAAGTGGAGGGGGGGGGGGATATGTAGCAGATCATTGCAATACACACACACTGCCTCATATTTTGCTACTTTAAACCTAATGCAAGTACTAAAATATACCTCATGACCTGGCAAAAATCCAGTGAGCTCCTATCCTCCTATTTGAGCTGACAACGCAGCCTTTGCTGCCCCTAAATATCAAGGAGTGTTGTCAGCCCTACCAGAATTCTTCTCTGCAAGGCTACAGACCCCACCATACTAATCTCCATAACATAAGAGGGAGGTGTTCTGTAATCTAGCAGAGGGTGAACTACTCATTATATACAGGATAGAAGCAGATGAGCAATGCACTTAGCTGTAATTCTTGCATTTTACATTTAAAGAGAAGATTGTTCCATCTCAGTAACAATACTTTGTGACCAAAATATGGATACTTTTTGAATTCAGAATTTTAAAAACTGATTAACTGTCACATAGGCTGAACTCGATGGACTTGTGTCTTTTTTCAACCTGACGAACTATGCAACTATGTATGAACGCTTTCCTCCCTTCCACTGGACCAATCAGGAAACAGTTAAGGGTCCAGTTCAACCAATAGTGATATTTAAGTAGATTGGAACCCCTCATACTGGTGGTCAGTGCAGTTATGTAGACCCCAAGACAGAGGCGCAGACACCTCCCCAACAGAATACCTGAGAGAGATGAGAAACTGTCTGGTAATTTAAAGCTGAACTTCGGGCACATATAACTGGCAGCAGCACTGTCAGCCTGCCATGGGGGCTTATTCAGATGGCCATTGGGCTGCTTCATCAGGTCTATCAGATAGGCAGCCATCTGAAGTAGTGCACATAGAAGGCGGACAATGCTGCCGCTCATTGACCAGCAGTGGCTGAGCGCTGTCAGGATGTTACTGGCAGGATCTACAGCAGGAGTGGGCAATTCCAGCCCTCCAGATGCTGTGGAACTACAAGTCCCGTGAGGCACTGCAGGACTGACAGTTACAGCCATGACTCCCAGAGACATGTTGGGATTTGTCATTTGCACACATCTAGAAGGGGTTGGAGTTGGCCACCTCTGATCCACAGGAACAAAGTAAAATGGTTTGCATGATTTATATGGAGAGCTATGACCCAAAAATACTAAAAACATTTTGACTTTATACACATTTTGAAACACATACATGGGAGCGGTCCTACAAGACAAAGGATTTGTATTTCTGTCTATCAGTCCTGGGATTGAAACAGCCCTGATGCACAATACAGACTACCTGCTGACCTGAACTTTCTTTGCTGCAGTTAAGCAACACAGCCTAGTCCGTCCGTCCATCCCCCCCAGCCTGTAATTCTTGCTGCTCCTTCTCTGTCCAGACTAATGAGGTCATCTCTCTGCTCTCTCTTACTCAGAATGTTTCTTGCCCGGACACCTGACTGGTCCCTAGTTCTGTTCTAGTCTGAGTGCTGTTGTACAGGAGATTGCAAGAGGTAGGTACCACATTTTAAATGTGCAAAAACAATATATATATATATATATATAATTTGTTCTGGGTGGGCTGACCTAGCGCAGGGGTAAGCTATCCAGCTGGGGTACAACTACATATCCCATGAGGCATTGCAAGACTGACAGTAACAGGCATGACTCCCTGAGGCAGATGAATAATAGGATTTGTAGCTTCACGACAGCTGGAGGGATGGAGTTTGCCCACCCCTGGTCGAGAGGAATGCATTTTCCTCCCCTGAGATGATGTGCATTGGCACAGTCACATCCGCCAGAAATCCAGGAAGTAATAGAAGAGCTAGTAATCTGCCCTTAGTAAACATGGCCACTACCAGAAGACTGTGGAAGAAAAGAGAAATAAAAAAGGTATGCAAAGAATACAAAGCCGGCAATTATCTAGAAGTGTTTGTAGATTGTCATCACTCAACATTTCTAAAAGCTCACTCACGTGTTGTTGACGATTTGCAGCCGGTCTCCCTTTTTGAATGATAAGTCTGTTTCTGTGCGAGACTCATAATCATAAAGAGCGACGAAGGTGGTGACTCCCCCTACATAGAGAGAAAGCAGAATCAGACAATCTGGTGACGTGTGCTTCTTATAAGATAATAGGCTTTGATGTTTAAATTCCAACTACAACCAAAACATGGTTATGAGATTGCTGGACAAATCCCAGCAGCAAGGTCCCCAGTACTCCTTAAAAACTACAGCTGGCACTTACATTTTTAGGTTTCTTTGTAGTAGTTTTTAAAGCTGGTGCCTACAAATCCTGCAGGCTCCTGGATTGGGCAGACTGGCTCCTAAATTCCATATTAATTTGTCCGCCCCCATGTTGCGGGTACATTGGAGAAAGGTTATAACCTCTGTCAGGGTATTACCATCTATGAACCTGCTGAGGAGGTTTTACTGCACTTCCTGTCCTAGTGACTGTACAGGAAGTGGAGAGAGTTCCCTAAAGGGCACACAGATGGCAATAAAAACATTAGAGGCACATGCACCTGAAACCGTAGCCACTCAACCTCAGGCTATGAGACCCAATGCCGTGTCCTAGATCGACATCTGCTGGTGGGCCCATATTGGACTGGAGTCCCACAGAGTCTATTACCCCACGAACCTTCCCTAGACCCGTCACTCACCCTTCCCCTGATCCCCCAACTGCTGGTGGGCCCATATGAGGCAGAAGTCCCACGGAGACTATTACCCCACAAACCTTCCCCAGACCCCTGTCATTCACCCTTTCCGATTCCCAATGCCGGGTCCTGGATCGACAACTGCTGGTGGGCCCATATGAGACAGGAGTCCCACGGAGACTATTACCCCTCAAACCTTCCCCAGACCCCCAATGCCGGGTCCTGGATCGACAACTGCTGGTGAGCCCATATGGGGCAGGAGTCCCACGGAGACCATTACCCCTCAAACCTTCCAAAGACCCCTGTCACTCGCCCTTCCCCTGATCCCCAATGCCGGGTCCTGGATCGACAACTGCTGGTGAGCCCATATGGGGCAGGAGTCCCACGGAGACTATTACCCCTCAAACCTTCCCCAGACCCCTGTCACCCACCCTTCCCCTGATCCCCCATTTCTCTTTCTATGCATCCATTTTATAAAAGGTTATACACATTGTAACCCATGTGTATTCTTTCTTAACACTCATGTTCTCCCTGCACTTACGTGGGTTTCCTCCAGGTACTCCAGTTCCTCTCACACTCCAAACAGACATGCTGGAAGGTTAATTGGCTCCTATCCAAATCGGCCCTGTATGTATGCGAGATAGGAACCTAGACTGCAAGCTCCTCGAGGACAGGGACTGATGTAAGCTGTGCACCATGTAAAGCACTGCGTAAACTGATGGTGCTATAGAAGTACCTCTAATTATTAAACAAGTAAATATGTAGTGACGTGCCATACTGGGAATGTTGCTTACACTGTATGCAAAATATCTGCACGGCTTACATTGCTCATGTTGTTGTACATGTCGTCATTTGCTTTTGCAAAAACAATGAAAATATTGAACAAGAAAACCTAACAAGAAAAGCCTTTCCTCCCTCTACTTTAAAAAAAAATTGATTGTGGTTTGTACCCCTACTGGAGAAATTCTGATCACTTCCTTCTCATCATACAGGAAGTAAAAGGTATATCTCCCCTTAGGGCTTTAGGAAGAAAAATAAACAGATAGTTTTTAACGGTTTGTGAAAAAAGTTGTGGTTGGAGATGACCTTTAAATGGCAAATCAAAAAGCAGCATAGGTCTAGGTCAGGTGAGGACACGATATCATGGGATTTAGGACCTGGTCTGAACAATCCAGAGGCCAGTAAATGTTTTTTCTTTTTTTAAGGGGCCAGCTCCATTGACATCAACTACAGAAAACCTTCACAGTGGAGGTTGCCATTTTAAAGAGCATTGGCTACCTGGCTCCTGGGATTTCTCAAGCCCAGGTCAAGGATCTTTATATGGGCTGGTGTTGAATGCTCCGCAAACTACACTGAAGCATCTGACAGGCATCGGGTGGTGAACGATCCGAGGACCAATGACTCGCAGCTTTATATATGTGCTTGTGGCTTCCATTTATAAGGGCTGGTTCGCACCACAAAAGAGTGCGTTCCAGAGCGTTTAGCCTCTGGAACGCAACACGGCCGCCTCCCTGCGTTCAGGGGCGGGAGGGGGCGTGGCGGTGCATTGAAGTCAATCTTCAATGAATGAAGCTCGCAGTGTGATCGCCCGCACCTGAGCACATTAGCCCCTGCGTTCCGGGCCAGTGTGATCTGCAAAAATAGTGCATCTATTAGTGGAACGCACTCTTTGTGGTGTGAACCGGCCCTATAGATGATAAATTGCACATACTTTGAGGTACTTTCTGGTTGCTGCACCTGTTAGACTTCCGATCAAAGCCTAAGTACACGTGCAGCCCCAGGGTGCACATGGGGTGTTGACATCTGCCCACATTAGGCATCACCTCATTGCACTAATCAAGAGGCAGAGTCTTTATTGTCCACTAAAGTTCTGGAATTTGACCTTTGTATAGAATTGGGGTGAGAAAGGCTTAACTCAGGAAGAAGTTGAGGCCCCATGTATAATTCTAGGAAGCTCCAGAGATTTGAAAAGGACCATACACTTTGCCATCTGATACCATTTTCTTCTACCAATGACTATACTGGAGAGGTCCACCATGACCGGCCATTAACTGAATGGATTTTGCCGGTAGACCATGACATAATTTTGGTCCATCTAAAAAGGAGATTGTACAGAATTTGAATTAGGCTGTATTGTGCAGAGCCAACTCTACATATGTACCAGCAGTAACCACAAGGTGTCACCTTAGAAACATTTTTGGGCCAGGCTGGGTTCACTTTAAGCACCTGGTGTCCAACAAATGGCCTGAGGGCAGCATTCAGCACTTAGTGATTGCCATGCTGCCCTTGAACCTCAGCAGCCAGCAGCGGCATTGCTGACCTTGTAAAGGGGAGGTAAATGGCAGTGATCTCTAGCAGTCTCACGTACATGTTCCCAGTCTGACTGTCTCTTAGAGCTGGTCCTCAACCATGCCCGTAGAATGTCCATAGTTTCTTACGGTTCTGCCGGTTAATTCTGCAGTCTGACAGTCTTCTGTAGCATTGCAAATACTGAACATTATGTGCAGCTTTTTGCGGAAATCAGGGGCCACAGGCGAGGCCCCCTAAACCTTGTACAATTGATAAGCACTGCTTTAAAGGCTGGCAACACTGACAGGACAGATCTGTGTGCATCGGGCCATTGCCATAAAAACAAAAATCTCTGCATTTTGGGACCCGAGTGCCTGTTCACACGACGTCCGTTTTGTGTGCTGACATGATCCGTACGCTCCTGCACTCAAAATGCATCCCAATGTATCCCTATGTGTTTTATGGGCTACAGTTCTCACGTGCGCAGTCCGTTCAGGTTATGACAGAAAAATACTGCATGTCACATTTTGTACGGTCAGGAATCGCAAACGCGTCAAAAACGCGCCAAAAACGCACTGCAGCTAACATACTAACAGCCCCACTCCAGCAAAAACAATTTTTTTTTCTGTTTTTATTTTTTTTACTGGAAAGTATCAAAAATGCGGCCAAAACGCACTGCATCAGTAGCACCGCGTCTGCAGATCCGGACCTGATCAGGACCTGAAACTCATGTGAACAGGCCCTCAAACAGTATGACCCGACTCCTTGTCCTGCTTCTAGGAACACTGATTATATATGTACTGCAGACCCAAACATCTCATTTGTGTATAGACTGGATCTGTGCTGCTGGTGATAACGCAGTTATGTGCATTGCTACTGATCAATCTCCCACATACTTCATCACCATGATAGAAGCAATCACTCATCCACTGACTCACCTGAAATGGGATGCCGATTGGCTGCTGGATTCTGATCATGTGTACAAGTTAAAGGGAAGCTCTAGTGAAAGAAATTGACAATCGTTGACCTCTCCAGAGAATGCTCGCTGCCCGGTCCTCTGAATTATTACTGCGTCACCGTACCAGTCCAACTACAACGGCTGCATCAAGTTCCAGTTTTGTGTACTGGAGCTACATGCAGCTCACATTATGCTGTTAGTACAGGTTCCCTTGAAGCAGTTTTTGCCCCAACCTGTTTTATTTGTGGCTATGGTTAGCTAAAGGGCCCAGATCTCCTAGAAAATGATATTCCAACTAAACTGCTATTACATGAAATGTATAAATTAATCGTTTTACCTGCCTAAGGACTTGGAATTCTATTAGGCCTGCTTTGTGGTCCAAGTCAGGTCAGAGTTTACAAGTCAGGCCCTGAATCTCCCTGCAGACTACACTGTGGTTAAAAGCAGAACTTGACTAGGTTACAGAATCCCATGAGGCAATAGCCACTGCGCCTTCGTGGCTATCGGCTTCTATAACCTAGGACAAATATAACTGTAGTAGGTTATGGAAGTGGATAGCCGCGCAGGCTCTGTGGCAATAGTTAGACGGTTCGACAAGGATTTCCTGGGCATGCGCACTAGCACCATCTGCTGCAGATCTCCTACTGGCAGTCACCGGATGTGACGTTACCAGTTGGAGAGGTTGACAAGTTGGAACTTTCGATAAGACTGTTCCCTGGAGCCTCTCTCTCCCTCCACTGCAGCACTGGTACATTCCTCAGTGTCCCCCTGCACTGCAACAGTGGCACTATCCCTCAGTGTCCTCACATCCTATACACTCTGTATAGGACCTGATCACTCACTGGACCTTAGACCGCTGCAGCGGAAGGGGAGCTAGCCTGGAAGGACCGGTCTAAGAGCAAGCCAGCTTGGAGGATCAGGCGAGTATAACTGTTATTTTTGAACCTAATAACAAATGAGCATTTAACCCTTGCAGTGAGGCAATCCCTCTGCTCTCCCTTACTGTAGGATGTGCTGCAAAGCCCTGATTGGTTTAAAGTGCGCATCCCTCCCCTTCCTGTCCATATGCATGCTGCTGTACCATAGAATGAAGAAGGCAAATATTCAAACATATTCAGGTACTCGTTCTCGTTGCATAGGTAACCGGATAAAAAGCATGTGTATGTCTGTCCATCTCTCCACCCGGAGTTCAGTTTTAAGCACCGCCATTTGGATGAGTTACTCAATGGCTTATAATATTACCTGGAAAGATCCCCCCAGTCACCTTTTCAGCTATGCGCCCCCCCCCTTTTCCTTCTCGAGTCTCATTCCTCTGGCTGCATTCTGTATAATGTAACAAACTGAAAAGAATCTAAAAAAGGGGAGAGGGAGAGAGAGGGGGAGAGTGACCCCCCTATTATAACATAAGTAGATCCAGGAATTTTTGAGCAGCGTCACCAAGCAATTCAGCTTAACATCCCCCAAATTGAAAATAACGGTTTTCAGGGGGACTGTCCTCTTTAGCAATGCAGGGACTGCGTCAGACGCAGCAAGCACAAGCTGTCAAAGTCCTGAAGTTACTTTGGCATCTTGGCCAACTGCACCGGCTTTTGTGCCATCAGCTCCCATGCCCATGTACTAACCTGCCAGTGCTCCGGTCCTCTGAGGAGAGGTGATGGTGTCTGAAAAGTTTACCCCTCCGAACGGCGTGAGGTCGCAGTTGCCCCCGAACGGCTGATTGGCAGGTCGATGCGCGTCTAGGCTTTTGCTGGGGGTCTGAGAAGCAGATAGCGAAGGGAACGGTGTGTGGGACCCCTCGGCGATATCCAGACTGCGACTCCGCTGGCCGGCTTCCCGCGGCTTGCTCTTCGTACCGCCCATCTGTGCGTAAGACAAGGAGGTAAGAGTCAGTATTACCGACAGGTCAGCACATTATCATAGGTGCAGGAATGTGTTAACAGACCCATATGGGCAAGACACAGGCCAACCCAGAGCTCTGCAGGTTCATTTACTTAATAGGAAGGTATAATTGATGTCTTTTAATGGAGGTGGGTGTCACCGGGACCCCTAAATGAGGTCACGACCTGGCTGCTGAATTCAAGTAAAATGTGACACATCCCCTCCCAGCCCTGGAAGGAGAAATGTGGAGGTGGGGGAGACTTTATTGAATGTCTTGGAATGTGCTGTGACGGCAAAACATGGGAGGGAAGAGGAATAAAAGGGGAATGGGAAGGAGGGGGGTGTTGGCATGGGAAGGAGAAGAGCCAGAGGAGGAATGAAGGAACAACAGGTGGTAAAACAGACGTGATTGGAGAGCAGAATGGAAAGGAACAGAGACGTATTCAGAGCCTGGGAGCAGCAATGAAGAACCGGACATCATGTCTGCAAGAGGAGGTCAACGCTAACAGAGCCAGAGGGATGAGAAACTGAAATGACATACGTGTCCGGTTCACTTGAACTACAGCTAACGTGCTGTGACTGCCCAGCATGCACCCATGTCAGGAACGGAAACAAAGACATTGATTTCTTAACACGTAAGGAGAACCTGTCACCAGACCAATCATTTCAACAACCACCTTCCCATAGGATTATATCTGCATTAAGCATTTTTTATGCATGCTATTTGGTCTTTCTCTAATGCAGTTTCACTTTTACTTGCAGGTCACCGCCCCTCCCTACTCCCACCCTGTGAATGGACAGTGAAAGGTGGAGCAGCACACAGAGGAGTTTGTCTCTGTCACTCTGCTCTCTCCCTTACAGTGTGGCTGTCAGTCTTGCAATGCCTTATGCAGGGCCCGGATTAAGAGCAACATGGACCTGGTACTGTTAGTTGGACGGATGGGATTCAGCAGAGGCGGATCTCTAATCAGGCGGCCACTCACTCCTTGTAGGGGCACCCGTGAGGCCCCAGCGAGCGGCTGCCGAATATGCCTCATTAGAGAGCCTCCGGCGCCTCTGCCTGATTGCGTTCAGCTAGGCTGGCCTGCATTGCCATTGGGCATACTGAAGCGATCCTGGCTAGCCGGGCTTATTTTTAGTGGTGGGCCTGGAGCTGGCGCTCAAGTAGCCCTGATATTAATCCGGCCCTGGCCTATTAATCCGGCCCTGGGACTTGTAGTTCAAACGGCTGTATTGGTACATTCTGTCTAAGGGTTTGCATGGCTCTGCCACACAATACAGCCCAGTCCGAGCTTTTGTCTGATGCAGTTTCACTTGCAGGACCCTTCCCCACTCTGTGAATGGACAGTGAAAGGTGAAGCAGCACACTGATGAGCTTGTCTCTGTCACGCTGCTCTCTCCTTCACAGTATGGCTCCTTGCACTCCTCGTGCTGCTTCTTTTTCACTCTCTCTGAGCCCAGCTGTAATGTGCAAGGGTGTGGAATTTTTTTTTTAAACTACTTGTCCAAGGACTAAAGCGGGGGCCCGATCTACTTGTCCCTCATGGTAATCTACTTGTCCTGATGCAAAAAAAAAAAACTTACCCAAAACCGTATTTAGCAGTGCCAAGAAGAGCTTCTCATTGGTCAGTGCCGTCAGGTGCCGTATGGGTGATAGTACACCCATACTGGCGGATGGGAAGGACCGTTCCCTGAAAGGTAAGTATAGCAGAGGGAGAGGGGACCAGATTTGTGCAGGTAATTCCATTTTCCCATATTACTTGCGAAAGTCAATTTACACTTTGCAGTGGGTGCAGACTTGGGCGACCCGTGTGCGGTTGCCATGCGGCCCCCTTGATTTCAATGGTGTTATATCCGCGTGGTAATCGCTGAAAAAAGGTACATGTACCTTTTTTCGCAACACACACCGTGCTGTGTTTTCAACCACGATTATGTGCGAATGCACGGGCGTTATTCTGCCTGGCGCTACTATGGTGCCATTAGACAATAATGGCACTGCCAGCACGATCGGTGGTGGTGTGCGATTCTGTGACCGGCCATCCACACGGTTTTGTGCATGATTGCCATGCGGTAACGGAACACACACAACACACACACACACGTTCTCTGCCTTGCTCCGTGCTCTCTAACCTAATTTGCTGTGGTCACGGATCACCCACAAGAGGAGGGGGGGACCCCGAAGACCACGGCAAAAAGGAAGCCCAGGTGCAGAGAGAGAGACAGCCGGCAACACCGGGAGCGGTACATGGCCGGCCGCCAGAGATAGATAGAGAGGAGAGGGGGAGCAGAGGGGAGGGGGAGTGAGATTCAGGCTCGTTACAAGTGGTTTTGGACGGCTGTACAGCCGTTTAAAATCACTTGCACGAAACGGCTCCCACACTACATTTAGCCGTGCTGCTTGCCCGCAGCTGGGCTAAATGTAGAAAGAAACTACTCGCCCGGCGCACGAAACTGCCTGCCCCGGGCGTCGGCGATAGGAATTCCACACCCCTGAAAGTGACTGGAATATGCCGATACAAGTCAAATTCAGGTACTTGCACTGCTTGCGTTTTGATGAATGAATACAGAGATGTATTAATTTATTACATTTATATCTGCCTGGAGTTCATCTTTAATTACAGTGATTTATAGAAGGACAACCAATAGAGGGGGGGGGGGGGGGCTCCCATTGGTGTAAAGCAATTTCTCTTACTTTCTAGTCATGAGTCAGCTGACTACTAAAAACAATGCACTCCCTGTGTGGTTAAGGTGCCACTTTACTCAGTCACTGACATGGAACAAGGACACAGATAAGAAACACCAGGGTAAAGTCAGAGCTCTTTATCCACAGGCTTGTTCTGAATCTGTGACTCAGAGTATTAAAACCAGAGCAGCAGGAGCTTCTATATATTTCTCTGAGGCAAGGTTTCCAATGAAAACTTTGCCTCAGCAATTTATAAAAACCTATTGTCCCTGCCCGTGCCAGCGCACATCATGTGACCAAATGTTGGCATTTGATCATGTGATCTCAGCCAAAGTGGCATGAGGGACTGATGGTAAAACAAAACCAGCCTATCTATCCCCCCCCCCCCCACATGCATCAATGAGCCTTGGCTGCCCATGACCTGGATGGCAGGCTCACTGGTTTTCCTTCCTTGGACCACTTTGGTAGGTCCTGACCACAGCAGATCAGGAAGATCCCACCAGAGCTGCAGTTTTGGAGTTGCTCTGACCCAGTCGTCTCGCCATTACAATTTGGCCCTTGCCGAAGTTGCTTAAATACTTACGCTTGCTCATTTTTTTCTGCTTCCAACACATTGTCAGGGACAAAATGTTCACTTGCTGCCTTATATCTCCCACCCACTTCCAGGTGTCATTGTAACCAGATAATCAATGTTATTCACTTCACCTCTCAGTGGTCCCAACGTTATGACTGATCGGTGTACATCCCTTTGTGTTCTGTATGCAGTTAATAGGGATGAGCGATACACTGCAAGATGGGGCCAATATTACAACTTCCAAGTAAACGGCCTGCCCCTACCCACCACATACAGAGCTCTGAATGGGCAAAACACAGGCTTGTTTGGGTGCGTTCATCATTATTATCTGAAAGAAGACACATTGACACTTCAAACACTTGGGCAACAGGAAAAAAGGCTACCAGATGAAAGGCTCCTAGTACCTCAAAGAGCAAACGGCTACCTTTTGTACTATGAAGTACTTAACAGTCAACAGATACCAATTGAAGCTCCTATTGCAGTCCATGGGTCCAAAAACGAGCAATTCTGTGCACAAGAAAAACGAATGTACTACAAATCGACAACGCTCAGGTGTGAACGGACACCATGGAAAATAATACGATTCTTCATGTGGAGTGTTGTGCGAATGGGGGCTTAAAGCGTGTGCATACATTAACCCGACCCCCTAGCTTTGCCGCCTTGCCTATTCCTTTCCGCTCGCTTGTTTTTTTTCTCCCCCTCGATTCTATCACTTTACCCAGAGAGACAAGTCACGGGTGACCACAGAAACCACAAGAATGAGGAAGCAGACTGCAGAACGGCTTATTAAGGACAGGCTGGTGAAGGGACGGCAGACGGCTGGGCAGAGTACGAGTACAAAAACATGGCGTAATAAGCAGAAAAAGATCTAGAGGAATTATAGATGGAGTATGAAGTTCCCGGGACTCACTCTTCAGAGCTACATTCCACACAGACAGGTAGAGTCCTGCAGATCCTGCTATACAACTCTAGGGTATGCTGGGGGGGATCAAAACTCATCTATAAAACTTTCATATCAAATAATATATAAAAACACCAGGATATGTCACAAATGCACATCAGCAGATACATTCGTTTACAATAAACCTGTCACACACCAAGGCAATCCATACCAACCATAGCAGGGATAGGCAACCTCACCATGACAGGGATATCATGGTTCACCCCATCAACCATGGAGCTTATGGGGTTGAGGTCTGATAGAACTTACTTCCGAGTGGCTGTCTGCTTTACTATAATGATTGGCATTTCCGGGTATTACTTAGGTCAAGGGTAGGCAACCTCAGCACTTCAGCTGTGGTGGAACTACAAATCCCATGAGGCACTGCAAGACTGACAGCCACAGGAGTGACTCCTAAAGGCAGAGGCATTATGGGATTTGTAGTTTCACCACAGCTAGAGTGTAAAGACTGCCTACCCCTGGATTATAGAATGGAAAATGTGCAAGCAGAGGCTATCAATAGTGAAAACGGCATGCCAAAACAATTGGTGGCTTCAAAGCTGTAGGGCTCGGTTCACTAAAATATAATACAGTGCACAGGAAGGCCTCATTCACACACAACGCAAGCAAAATTGTATATTGCATATATGCGCGTATATACGAGCGTATATGCGTGAACTATATGCAATCCCAGAATGCATTACTAGTAATGGAATTTTTTGATGTGCTGTACGCATGTACGCGCGTATATGCGCGCAAACACACATATATGCGCGTAAATACGC